CCCCCCCCCCAAATCCCGAAATCCCCAAAATTCGAAACGACCCCGGATTCGTGCTCATCTCCCAATGCGCAGAACAACCCCCTGGACCAAAAGAAAAAAAAAAAAATTTAGGCTATTTTTTCACACGACCGGGTGACCTGGTCGTCGGACCTGCCCGGGCATGACGCCCGGGCGACCGGCCGGTCGTCAGAATCTTCCTACGTATTTTTTGTTTTGTTTTGGTAAAGAATTTTGATGTGACCTGAGGCAAACGTTGTTCGTTTTTTTTTTAAAGATTTTTTCGATCTGTTTTTTTTTTTTTTTTTTTGCTGGGACCCACTTTGGCAGTTGCACAGCCGGGCTACCCGGGAAAATAAGGTCACCCGGGCGGCCCGGCTGGTAGCCTACATAAAAGTATTATTAATTTTGTTCAACTTCCTGCCATCTGCTACTGAATGTCGAAAGCCACTGATGATCAGATTCATGCCTACACCATGAAAGTTGTGAGTGTACAAGAGGTGTCGAGATTCACAGAGCCTGAGACAGGTGGTTGGGCACTTTCAACAGAGAAGAGCCACCATTGCAGGGGGGGGATGTTATCAGTTTCAAAGAGACGGCAGTGGCCGATAACAACTTGTACAAGCAGGGCCTCAGGGAGTCTTATCAGAGCGGCTATTGCAGTTTCGAAGAGACGGCAGTGGCCGATAACAGCTTGTGCAGGCAGGGCCTCAGGGGGTCTTATCAGAGCGGCTATTGCGGGGAAGTTTATCAGGTGTTGGTCACCATGATCAGGTTCAACCACCAGTACATGGGCCCAGTTTTTTAAAAACAAGTTGAGAATGCGAATCACGATTGAGCCTCTCCTTAAATTTATGAGACTCGGGACAGGGCCTCCAAAGGAACAGTAGGAAAAAAAAAAAAACTCTGCCATGCCCTGCGGTGGCACTAGGCCCAGCCCTGAACAAAAAAAAAAAAAAATTCCGCCAGGCGGGCGCCGGCTTGTGTCCCCTAACTTTTCAGAGAGAGGCTCTCCCGCGAAAATAAGGTCACTGTTTTCCAGCCTTGAGCGCCCGGGAAAATAAGGTCACTGTCCACTGCCCCGCCGTTCATTCTAAAGGTAAGCACTGTGTCAGTCTACGGAAGGACACGTGTGAAGAAAATCAAGGCCAACACTGACTTAACCACGAAAGAAAAGTCCCATCGGTAGTCTCTTTACGGATGGTACGAAACCTCGTCCATTGCTAGAAGAAAAGGAAGCTGGCGCTCAAGGCTGCAAAATCAGATGTCCATTCTACAAAGGACGGCCTACCACTATACCCCTGTATGTGGTAGACTTTTAACTATTGAGACTTTTACACGATGAGCCCTGCCGCAATTGCTGTGAGGCACGTGCCAATACCCTTATGGAAATCTGTGCGCGAAAAGTTCCCGTGCCGAAAACAAATCCACCTCTCACCTCCTTATAAGTGATGCCAGCCAATTCTATTAGGAACTAGGCTTAGGTAAGGCGTTTCGATGTGACCCTGAGGCAAAAGTTGTTCAGCTTATTTTTCTGGATAAGGCTGATAAGCAGCATAACATTATTTTTTATTTTTTATTTTAAAGTTTTTTTATAATTTTTTATTATCTTTTTTAAAGTTTTTTTTTTATATATTTTTTTTGCTGGAACCTTCTCTGGTCCTTGCACAGCCAGGCCGCGCAGGCAAATGGGTGACCTGGGCAGCCCGGCTGGTAGCCTAGATGAGGAATATATTTTTACCACTCATGGCAGAGAGGAAAGAGCGGCTTGTTTCATCAGCGCCGAAGTATGCAGTATACATAGATGACATGGCTGCCACTTCAGGCACACACAAACTCTCTGCAATGATCAATTCCAACCTCAGAGGGAATATGACTTCACAAGCTTGTCCAGGTTGTAAAGGGGATAATTGGTCGAAAGCGCCCACATGGAAACCCTTTTGAAAAGTGCCTACCAGAAAATGAATCTGGCGCAGGTACAGCACCAGGTTCATGATCTGGTAGGAAGGGGCCCAGCAGTCGGGACCCAATCCCAGCCCCCATCCGACAGCCTGTTGCCCATGGACGCTTTTCACCAAGAGGGAAAAGTTTGGGCGCACTTGCCACCAACTATCCCGTGTACACGTCTCAGAAGAGCCCACCCTTGTGTGCACACGTGCTCGGAGGTCCAGGGTGTAAAAGCCTCCGAAGAGCCCACCCTTGTGCGCACGTCTCCTTCTACCACTCTCAGAAGAACCTGCACACACACACACACACACACAGATACATGCACACACAATACTAGGGTATGCACACAACCGTGGGCTCTTCCTAGACTGGCAGTCAGTGGACAAGTTGCAATGTCATTCTGTGTGTGTGTGTGTGTGTGTGTGTGTGTGTGTGAGAGAGAGAGAGAGAGAGAGAGAGAGAGAGAGAGAGAGAGAGAGAGAGAGAGAGAGAGATCTGCTTCTCCAGTATGCTCTGCCAGACTCAGCTTTTGGCCATTCCAAGTCCTTCCTTGGAACTGCCCACCAACTGTGTGGGTGTGGAAATCCAGCAGTCACGCGCCTTGAGAGTTCACAGGTCCGTTTGAATGTGTGTGGGGATACAGAACGTTTAAATTGGAAAAAGTATAACGCCGTGCAATGCATCCAGATAAAGAAGACGGAGGGTGGTGGTATGGGCTGACGCAGGGGTAGGGAGGAAAGAGGAGGCGGCAGGGAGGGAGAAAATGGGCAAGGAGGGGGGGGTGTATTGCAACAAGTGAGGGAGCATGGAAGGGGGGCAGGGAGGTAGAGCAAGGAACAAAAGAGAGTTATATTCGCTTCGGGAGGGGAGGGAGACAGGGAGGGCGGCAGACAGAGTAACCCAGTGGGGAAATGCCCTAGAAAGTGAGAAACATCCCCGTTGCCTAGATTCTCCCAAAGTTTGTCTTTCTGAATTGTGTCCATTGCAAGAAGAGGATATTTTTGGAATTTTGATACCCAATCTGTGGTTTGCTATGCTTGCCTCACTCCTGTGCTGTTTTGCTATGGTTGCGGTTCTCCTGCTTTGCTATGATTGCGGTTCTCCTGCTTTGCTATGACCGCGGTTCTACTGCTTTGCTATGACCGCGTTGCTAGATCATCAACACTAAGAGTGTAATGTGTCCAGTGTATATTGGAAGTTCCAAGGTATTGATGAGGCAAATACAGTCCAAGTGGCAACTGAGTTGTGCCTGGCTAAACACTCCCCTTACCTACGGGACCGTTTCCTATGTGACAGGCTCCACGAAGTGGGTAGTTGGTATGAGTATCGACTAAGTTCATGAACATTTCCAGTAGTAATCTCCCGTTCGGCAATGCCTGGGTTGACAGGAGAGCATATCAGCAGCACAGCGTGAAGCGATGAAAGCAAAACGGGAGTGCATACTTTGCTGGAGCTTGTGGAACTGCGCCGGTTCCTGTACTTAAGCCACCAGTACTTGGCCCATACATCGGGCGCGGCACTTCCCTGTTACCGCGCCGCACCTTTAGGCCTTCGGGCTACCAGACCACAATGGCTGGAGGCACCAGCCAGAACGAAAATGAAAAGTCGTGCTGGTGGTTCGTTCAGACTTGGTGCGAAGGGTTCTGCAAGGCTCGGCATCGATAACTGAGCCAAGTACTGGTGGTTTAATAAGCCTGACCATCTGTATGATTTATTTCAGAAAGCATAAACCATGTGACACATGCATTTGTGTACATAGTGGGCTATAATATCCCTCCCCTCCCCGCCCCCCCGTCTTTTACAGCATGCTTTACAGAGAGCACTGCAGCCATCTTTCAACTGCGTGACACATGCATTTGTGCATATAGTGGGCTATAATATCCCACCCCCCACCCTCTTCTCCCCTTCTTCCCTTTACAGCATGCTTTAAGCCACCAGTACTTGGCCCAGCTATCGATGCCGAGCCTGGAATGCCCCTGCGTGCCGATTTTCGCCGAAGCGCCGGGGTACCGTTTCAAAATTGTTTTGGCTGGCGCTTCCAGCCATTGAGGTCCGGTACCCCGAAGTCCTAAAGGCGCGGCGCGTTAATGGGACAGCGCCGCGGCCGATAGCTGGGCCAAGTACTGGTGGTTTAAAGAGTGCAATACTGCCATCTTGTGCATCCCGGTTGATCAACCAGTCCCGCAAGTCCTCTTTTTCACCCACAGCACAACTCCCTTCCCCCCAAAGGTGTGGTTAGAAATGTTGAAGTGACAGCAACAACATATATATATTTTTTATTATTTATCCTTCTTGCAAACCTCATTTCAACCATGTTTCCACCAGTACCTTACTTTTACCCATCATGAATTATTATTTATCCTTCTTGCAAACCTCATTTCAACCATGTTTCCACCAGTACCTTACTTTTACCCATCATGAATTCGGTAGAGGCGGCTTCCTTGAGCACCTTTGTGAAACAGACGACAACTCATTTTATCCCAGTGTTTCCGTGTCTTAGCTTCCCTGCTTTTCTTTCTCTTTTCGATGCTCTTCTGTGTGGTGTGTAGTTTCTTCTGCTTGGTACAATGGATTGCAGGTGGGTTCGTAATTTCTTCTCGAACTACACGCACAGTTGATAGCAATCATGTGGTGGAAGGATGCCTTTGGTGAATTCTTCAGGTTGCCAGTTACACTGAGGAGCTTGCACTTCACAGATGTGCTGGCCGTCCTCTTGAAGTTGACGACACAGTATACTGTGACAGCGTACGATTCATAGGACGTGCCAAGGGGTGCACAACACCCGCACACATACGCACAAAGAAAAGGAGAGAAAGAAGGAGAAAGAGTTTCAAAAAGAAGCATAAAGAGAGTGAGGTAAGAAGGTGTGAGCGTCCAGACCTTTGCGGCTCCGTACTGAAAAGTAAAAGTCTCTCCAACATCGTCCTTTCCCTCATTTCCGTAGCCCAAGGAGTCCACGTAGTACCTGCCAATAGAAATCAATAAAGAATGACAATGTTGTCACAGTTCATCCCCACAACATTTGGAGTTTCAGAACTAGGTGCCAAGGGGTCACATGTTGGTAAATATCGTCACAGATCTATCAACTGAAAGAAGCCACTTTGCGAAACAAATGAAGAAAACAGCAGACAACATGAGGCGCACAAGCGTTTCACCCTCTCTTTTTTTTTTTTTTTTTTTTTGAAATACAAAACACAAGGCTCCTTCTATTCTGGGGAGCAACAGTCCGGTTCCTTTTCCACCTGCAAGTGAAAAAGAATACAAGTTTTACCCAAGTGGACGTCATTGAATACGTCAGCTAAGAAGGATATACCACCCCTCACCCCTGCCTAAGGTAGCCTCATGGATTACCACCAGCCAACCGATTCCGTCTGCCCCTTCTGTTGCAATACCATTATAATCCCTGCCAACCCGCGGCGGTGCACCGAGAGACCCCGAGGCAGGGCGTGCCCATATACCTAATGAGACCCGTTTAGTACCGCCATGCAGCGGGCCCGGGCTGCAGTCCATCAGAGGAACACAGCAGAGATCACCCACGTGGGCTACGCCATGTGGGGGAATTTGAAATTTGGGCAAATCATGTTCTAATCCCTGGACGTTTGGGGCTGCATCCTCCATGGGACTATGTATATATCATCATACAGAAGTGCACGGTGATCCATAGGCCGAGAGGGAGAAGAGGACAACAAATGAGGGGGATTCTGACAGACTGTTTCATCACAGTTTCACGGCCTCATTAGGAGCCTGAACCCCCTACAGCCTGCAGAGTTCCCTAATCTCAGTCACATTGCACGGTTTTCCGTTTGAGGCAAGGGTGTGGCATGACCCACCCGTTAAGTTTATAAATTGTGTAGTAAACAGAGCAGATGCTTCCAAGAGTGATTTCTTCGCCAGTGCCCTTCCTCCTCTCCCTGTACCTAGAGCAATGCAGTCAACATGCACCAAACATCATTTCCACAAGGTCAATTCGTAACTCTAGATGATGGCAGACGCCGAAGCAAATGCTAGAAAAAATTGAAAAAAGCTTTTCTTTCTTTTGTTTCTCTTTTTCTTTGTGTGTATGTGTCATCCTTGCGCAGGGCGGGCCCATACTGCTCTTCTGTGTAGCATTGCAGTTTTTAACGGATGTCGAGAAGGACAACTTTCTTTCTTTCTTTTTTTTTTTTTTTTTTTTTTTTTTTTTTATTTTGGACCATTTCTCGATTTATGCGTGTCATCTGTGCGCCGGGGCCATGCTAATCTTCCTTCTCTGTACCGTTCCAATTTTAACGAATGTCCCAAAGGACCTTTCTTTCATTTCTTAACGAAGAGAAATTCATGAAAATTTGCCACAAAAGAGAGCCCTTGTGGAGCACAAAGTGCTTTCCAACCCACAGAAAGATTAGGCATTCGATGCATAGCTCTGAAACAAACATCATCTTCATGTGGACTCTCCATTGCACCAATCAATAGCAAAATATAAAAAAAAGAAATTCAATCCTCATATTTCAGCTCTGCAGGTTCAAGCAACAGAGAACAGAAGGGGATTCAGTAAGGACCTGCCAAACACGGACTGAGACACAGTTGATTTCTGAGTTTTGCGAATGGAATGTATGCCTTGTTGAGTTCCCCGCTTATTGACGAGTTTTCTAAGTCTGTGTGTGTGCGTGTTTGCTGGTCTGTGTGCCTGTCCGAGTGCTTGTCGATTTCAGTGCGTGTGTGACCCGCAAGGGTACTTGTTCATTCGGGTAGAGCCGGAAGGGCCGGTGGTTACCTGTGGCCGTGACATTTGAGGGTTGCAGCGGGGAAAACATTGGCGAGAAAGAGGCCCGCGACAAAACACTCAAGTAGCAGGCAGGCCAGTACCACACCCAGTGGCGTTAGATGTGTCGGGTACTCGAGGCTGAGAAGCAAAAGACCGAAGTTGGCATTTTTAGAGGCCCAGTAGTTGTAGGCTAGGTCTAGGCGGGGGTACCCAGTCCAAGTAGTCTGAGTCTTGGGCCTGTACGGTCAATATCAGAGTCTGCAATGATGTTTCCCTCTGAAAGGGAGGTGGTACCGGTTGCTTGGAGGCCGTGCGCCCTGGTAGTCACCGCCCAAGAGGCAAGCAGGCCACTATATCTCCAGGAGGAGCGAAGTGCTCCTCCTCATTCTATGGTGTGCAAGTTTGGCGACACACTGGTTGGAGCGCTGCTGGGGGATGAAGGAGCGCCCAGCTCCCTCCACCGTGACTATGGTGGTGGAGCTTGGGCTGGAGGAGGAAGAAAAGGAGCAGGAAGGGAGAGCGCCAGAGGTACTTACCTGGCAATGGTGGACACCATCTTCATCACCTTGGTGGGCGCTGCATCTGGAAGGCCCCAGTTGGGGTAGAGCTACACCAAGAAGCTTCGGGGCAGAGTCAGGCATGGCGGCCTGAGCCAGCGCAGCCATAACTGCTTTGAGTTGTCTTTTGCACATCAGGACAAGGCCCTAGCAATCCGCCATAGCCTCGGCCTTCAGGAAGAGGAAGGAGAAGGGTGGCCATGGCTATGGTGGACCTCATGTTGTACCTGCAGTAGAAGAGGGATTCGGACATTGATTCCGGTTCAGCCATTCAACATTATTATTATTATTTATTGTGAAGAAAGAGGGGAGGAGAAAGGAGGAGGCGAATGGTTGGCAAGAAGAAGGGATTATCATTGGCCCTTGCTGGTGTACATCTTCTTCTTCTTTCTTTCTTTCTTTCTTCTTCTCCTTCTCCTTCTCCTTCTCCTTCTCCTTCTTCTTATTTCCCTCTCTCTCCTCTCAAGTTCATTCATTTGTTTTTGAAATTGGACGGCATTGTACTTTCTCATGAATTTGTACTTCGAAATTGGCCAGGATCATAACAATTCCCTTTCTGTTTCCTTTTTCTTTTTCCTTTTTTTTGGTCTCGGTGGTGTATGCATGAGTTGACCCGGGGGGGCGAGGTGGGGGGGGGGGGCAGGTTGAGGCAAACGGGGACTGAAGGGGGGAACGAGACAGGGAGCCTGGGAGATGGGCAGAGGTACTAAAGTCTGTCATTGGTTGTTAATTATTACTGAGAACACGTGTATTCAAAAGTCTAGGGGACAGCTCGGGAGGAAGAAAAACAAACCAAGGGGCCAGAATGGTGGTGAAATAGAAGGCACACAAAGAAGGAAAGGCCTCAAGAACTGTCTTTTACAACTGAAAGGGACCATGGCTATGCTGTAGGAGATCAGCGGATCAAAACAGCAAATTATGTTTTTTTAACTTTTTTTAGTTTTTTTGCACTTCAGACACACACCTTCCTTAGCCTGTCTGGAAACAGGAAATCATGAAATTATGCCAATAGTAGACCCAACACGTGTACCCCGCCTTCGCCAGACTTTGACGCACAGGTACTAATCAAGTTTCTATTGGCACTGAGGCTGAGTACCTGCTCAAGATTTCTTTTTTCTTTTTTCCTCAACCGTCTATTCAAGCATAGGCACACTCCGCCTTTTGCCCGAATAGAACGCCCGGTCATCATAGCCGTATCTGGGGCAAAAATGTTCAGTCCAGATGCAGCAATAATGACTGCGCGTTGGCGTTCTATTCGGGTGAGAAGAGGGTAGGCGTCACAGACAACAAAGGACAAGGGAAGGAAAAGGAAAATATCAAGGTCAGGTTAACAGAGTGTGGTGATGCAGCTTCAGAAATCGTTCGACACGTGGCTTGGATAACGGTCTCACTCCACTGCAATCTTTCACAGACCAAGTCTTTATCATCATGGAAAATGTGGCATGAATGGGGAAATAGATGCTCACTTTACACCAGATGGCAGAGTAACTATGGGTCCCAGCTCCCTGTCCTTCTCTTCTCTTCTCTTCTCCCCAGCCTCTTTCGCTTCTTCAATATTTGTGAAAACTTTTGGAACCTCAGACCTGTCAAACACTCCAATCAGCACACATTGGTCAGGTGATCAATACCATGTTGGCTTGCCAAGGGGCTAAGAACAGAGGGCAGCGACACATTTCTATATATTGTACACTATGCGTAAAGTCGACCAAGCTACGATGCTGGGAGAAACTTGCCATGAAGCGTTCACAAATGCCAGCACATGTCAATATTTCCTTGAGGCCAGTTTATTGTGGGAATGCAGTTCAATGAACTTCAATCAAGTTCAATGGACATGGTCTAATGCCGAGGTCAATTTGGGAATTATACTCCCACTTACTTGAACATCTGACATCAACCATGGCCAGATTCAGTTGAGAAGGTCCTAGGGTGAACAACCCCGTGGAAAAGGCGGAAAGAGGTGGGACCAATGTGCTATTCCAATATACCAGCACAGATTTATCGGAGTTTAAACCGCAAGTACATGGCCCCAGCCTTGCAGAAAGTTTTTGTCGCCACAAGCGAAAATCGGAGGGGCCGCGGGGCGTGGGGCATCGTTGGGAAAAAAAATTGGCGGCCTCCGAAGTGGTGTGGGTTTCGTCCTGACACCCGAGGGCCGATGTGTGGTGTACTGGTGCTTTAACATTCATGCACAAGGCTATTAGAAATTTAGAATTAAACAAAAACCATCTACCATGGGAATGAAACTCTTATTGGTCCGAAATGGCTACTGTTCCGTTGAATACACCGATTGTGATCGGTTCTAAAAACTTCCTATTTATTCAACCTCATGTCTCAGGATCCTTTTAAAGTTTTAACTTTTAAGTTTTAAGTTTTAAGCCTTTTTTTCTTTTTTCATAGAACACAGTCTTATGTTGGCATCTGCGTTCTATTCTGCGGAGTGTCAGTCCAGCCACTTTCGACCGGCAAGTGATTCAATTATAGTAATTATTATACACACTGTTCTGCATTGCGTATAACTGACACATATCACAGCCAGCACGGCTGCCACATGCCAAGAACATGGAAGCAGGGTGGTCATAGTCTACCTGAGCAATGTAGAAGCAGGCCTGCTCTGCTGAGAGGAGATGGCAGTGGAGAATGCGGCGGACGGGAGCAGAAAAAAACTACCATCACGGACATCAAAACATATACTTCCATGAATCCATCACACACTGTTGTAATGCTTGCGTCAATGGGAATGCTGATCAGACATGATCACACACTGTCGTAATGCTTGCGTCAATGGGAATGCTGATCAGACATGATCCAAACATTACCTGGGTCGTCACAAGGTGGCAGCAAATGCCCAGTTTCTGGGGCTCGTATCTGTGTTGGGGCCGCTCCAAAGAAAGGGTGTTAGAGAGTTGCAGGATCGGGTCCACCACTCTACATCCAGAGAGCGTGACAGCCTGTCGGTATTCTGCACTGTACATGACTCATGTAGCCGCCATTCAGCATCCTGCTTGGATTTCTGACTCGTGTCACTGTTCTGGCTCCAATTTGGACTCCAGTATCAGTGCATTACATGCTGTTGATAGAACAAACCCTATCATCACCTTTATATCATGCCTGCAGGGTCTGACTGCCTTGATTCTGCTGCTGCCCATGCTCCTGTTATCACACCTTCTGCACCCCCCAGACTGCAAGTTTCATGATATAGCAGATGCGTGTGTGGGCACTTCCCCTCAACAATACAGATCTAGGGCACTTGAAGCTAGTGCAGAAAAGAAAAGTATGTGTGTGTGTGTGTGTGTGAGAGAGAGAGAGAGAGAGAGAGAGAGAGAGAGAGAGAGAGAGAGAGAGAGAGAGAGAGAGAGAGAGAGAGAGAGAGAGAGAGAGAGAGAGAGAGAGAGAGAGAGAGAGAGGACGGAAACAGAGCCAGTGTCCCTTTCGTCTTGCCCTTTTTTTCTTGTCCCTCCACTTGTGTGTATCACTTCTGAGCAGCAACTAATGCTCTAATCTCCTCTGTATTGTAGCCATCGCTCCAGTTTCAATGGTATGTTCCAAAACTTCCGAAGGATGCCACGAGCCGTGCTTATCTCGACTGTATTGCAGCTATCATTCCAATTTCAATTGACATCCCAACGATGCCCTTCCTCCAGCCGTCCATCCTTCCTCCCTGCTATTTTCCTCACATTTGATTTGCAACCATGCTCCAACATTCCTTGGTTGAGACATCATGACTAGTATTTTTCCCCGAAGACAACACGCCCTCGTCATGACTGTATCTGTCGGTAAAAAAATACTAAAAATAGATGGTATACATTCATGAGCAGGGTGTTTGTTGCCTTCTTGGCAATATGGTAGCAAATTCACTGCGTTTATCCTCTTGGTTGGCCATTCATTTACACGACAAACTAGCAGTGAGAAGGGCCCTAGGGTGCTCCATGACTGTTGCCGAGGTGGTCCAGGAATGTACCCACCAGCCACATCAGGGGCAGTCATGGACTGCCTGGCCACCTCAGGGTCAGTCATGGACTAACAGGTGATCTCAGGGCCCTCCTCACTGCTACTTTTATCAGGGGAGCCTTCCATAAGGCTGGTCTATGAAGCCACCTCGTCAGCTGCCTGCATGCACCTTTGGAAGCATGGACCCATTCGGCACATTCGCCATCGTGACTTGTGACAGAGATTGGAAGCCACAGCAAAATAGCAAGAGATCAAGAAGAAATCCACTCAGAGCAGCGACTTGCCGTGAGATGAGCTGACAGTTCGCATGCGGCCAAATTCAATAATGTTACAGTTTCCCCTCACAAAGGAAAAGGCAAGAACAAATGCCTTACTCTTCTTTGTGGAGACACAGACCACACAGAACGGAGGTAAATTGAATGCAAGTGACAATGATACAGAGATAACAGTCAGATAAACAGCAGCTCACACACACACACACACACACACACACACACACACACACACACACACACACACGGGTGTGTGGGCACTTCCCGCTCAACGACACAAACGTGGGAAACCTTGCACCTTCTATTATATTGCTTATCTATACTTTCCTTGTTTATGGATGATTTGTGATGGTACAAGGATGGATTGAGAGAGAGAGAGAGAGAGTGTTTGGGGATCTTGACTAACACACACACATGCACACCCCCCCCACACCCTCACACCTTCTCCTGTCCCCCCCCTCCCCACAGACTCACATATACAGAGTGAAATGATGAAGACAGAAACTTCTCTCACTCAATGATATGCACGCATTGCCACCTTGACTTCCGTGAAAGCAGAAAAGCAGCATCGTGTCACAATCAGCATATATACACATACCTCGCAGTTTGGGAGGCACTCGTGGTTCCCGAACTCGCCAATCCCATTGCGACACCAATCAATGAGGCAATAGCATGTCTTCTTTGAAGCCCCTGACATATTCCAGCAATTACCTCCTGACCCCTGCAATTACCTGACTGCCATGGAAAAGAGACACAAAGGTTACCTCCCATCATCCTCCGTAATTTGTCTATCAGCATCTGTAATGGGTAGTCTTTGGCAGATAAAAATGCAAAGCAAGAGTCAAGAGGGAGATGGCAGTGAGGATGAGGTTGTAGCTGTGAATTCACGCTTGAAAGAACTTCCTACATGTTAGGAAACACCATTCTGAGTACACGTGGAAAAACTCTGAAGACCAAACCTGAAAGCTTTGAGATCAACCAAACACTGAAGACAGGGGAAGCCCGGGGGGCAATGCAGCAATGCGTCATCATCTGCATGTCCAAGTTCCCTACTCGCTGACAGGGTCTCGTCACATTCACATACAGCTGGGCTGGTAGAATTTAGCACCTCTATTGGAACTGTGAAAATTGGCCCGTTGTCCAAATTGGCCGACCCTCTGGAACTGGCCCCAAGGAGAAGACAACACTAACCTATAGCGAGTGCCCCAGGCTTCAGGCTTAGACCCTTTTTCTAATTTCAAAATTCAAATCCAATTTCTAAATCAAATTTTCCTTCTAGTCTGGGCCAGCAGTCGAATGCGTAACTAAACCACCACTTAATGCCAGCTCCTCATTCTTCTTGTAGGGAACCCCTACCGTCTTCACCCGAATAGAACGCCCTGTCATTATAGCTGTATTTGGGGCATTCTTCAGTCTGAGGTGCAGCAATAATCACCGGGCGTTGTATTCCGGTGAAGACCACAAATGATGGGGTTCCCAACAAGAATGAGAACACAGACCACACAAAGGACACAGTTTTCTCTCTGTGGTTCGAGTTGGGAGTACCAAGAGTGATTTTTTCTCTTTGAAGCTCTGTTCAACTTCAGGATGCCCTTAGGGTATGTTGTGTGAGAGAGAGTGAAAAACAAACAAACAAACAAACAAAAAAATAGCGGTTCTTCGCTGTATTTCTGTCCCGATAGGGGAATATCAAGATTGACATGGATCAGGAATTCCTCCTCAGTGTGCCACCACAGCCCCATGACCACCTTTCCCCTCCCCCCCCGAAAAAGAAACAGCCTTAAGCCAACCGTACATGGCCCCAGCCAACCTGAGAATCACGATTGGGCCTCTCCGAAAAAAATCGGAGGCTTGGGGCAACCAGACCAAAATGGCTGGCAGCACCAGGCAAAAAAAAACAAAAACGCCGTGCTGGTGTTCAGCATTGGTGTGCAGTGGGAATACGTCTCGTACAAAACAGGGTCGTCGCTTCCAGCCGTAACGACAGAATTAACCCATCATCCAACCACCAGATAGCTAGTGGCAATGGCGTAAGACATTTCGACCATACCATCCATGTCAAATAGCTAATTGATCTTTTTCATGTGCTACGTTATGGGTCTCTGTTAGTTGAGGAAGATCACGACTCTGAAATAACTTTCTGTTTTTTATTGAGAAGTATACTTGAAACGGTTTTCACCTTTTAGCCGATGCAGATCCCAGGGCTCGATCTCTAGACCTTACCCTACCGTGTACAGTACCTGTGTAGACCCCGAGAGTTGAACCCGTGACCTGTGTATTCGTAAGCAACCGGTAGGCTGTCATAGGTCCGTAGGTTGTAGGGGTTCGATCTGTAGGTCTGTCGAACAGAAGTCTCAGTGAAGTCTAGAAGTCCTAGCTGTAGTCTTCTAGAAGGTTGGCAAGTGGGCAAGTGGGCAAGTGGTACGCCAAGTGGTGGACTAACTGCAGTACGATTGCAGTAAGACCTCAGTAGGTTAGCAGTGAGTCTCCAAGCAGTCAGCGGTGCAGTCCAGTCAGTCCCAGTCCGGTCCAGCAAGCACCATGAGGGACTGTGTGCACCATGGGCCGATGGAAAGGGGCAGACCAACGAGCTTCAGAAGTATAAATCAAGAGGCAGCGCCCAGCCATCCATTCACTCCTGCGTGAGCCATGCGGAAGCGCTGCCACAGCGACTTGTGCAAGAAGGTCTGCAGTGAGCCCGGAGCTGAAGTGGGCGAGAGAGGAGCGTAGCATAGCGATAGGGTAGAGGTGGCCATAGCCACCATAGCTGTAGTTAGTATTCAGCATGTGTGTGTGTGAGTGCAGAGTAACGCGTGTGGGATATCCAGGGTGATCCGGTGTATGCCAACAGTGAGTTGTTTGGGCGCTAAGTCGCCAGAGCCATTGAAAGTGAACTCGTATCTGGGTTGCCATATCTCTGAGTTTTGAGTGGGCGCATGTCGCCAGTTTGCTGCGCTACTGTTTGCATGCATGAAAGGTGTGAATGAAAGCGAGTCTGATTGCATACTAGTATAATCATATTATAATGATATAAATTCTAATAAATTTTTGTAAGTTATTTGATTTTTCAGAATATTTGAGGTGTACTGAAGGTTATCCCCATAGAACCAACACTAAAGAATGTATATCCAGGTTTAATGATAGGCTTACAGTGGCATGCTCCAAGCCAAGTTTCCATTGGTCACAATGTTGAAATTTACATTGCAATAAAAAGCAATATAAGTGGCAATATTGACTGCAATAATTCCAAAATGGCCCACAATAAAACTTATAAAAGTTATAGAACCATATTGAATTTCGCTCTTGCACATTTTGCCATGATTTGGCCATAATCTGGACAAAATTGTCATCACATAGATGAGTTGGTGAAACTCCGACGAAACAGTCTGTCACAGCCCCTTGTTTGTTGTCCTCTTCTCCTTCCTGGGCTATGGTTCCCTGGGCAGTTCTCTATCATGATACATCCTAGAAACTGCTCGCTTGAGTATGGCATTGCCCCAAGTGGCATTAATGATCATTTACCAGCTCAACCACAGGCCTCAGCTGAAAAAAAAAACATCGGGATCCTGTGGCAACCACATAATCATTGCAGCTGCCAGGCAAGAGGGCCATCGGTAATTGACCTAGTGTACCGGATGCAGTATCCCAGAGTGCGACGGAAAAAGAGCACACACACACACACACACACACACACACACACACACACACACACACACACATTCCATTAATGACAATACCAGTGCATTGTTTCTACACGGGATTCTCTGCCAAGTACTACGGCTATTAGTTGGCATGAGCTGTTTCTACAACAGGTTCAATAATGGCACTTCGTCGGCATACTGTCACAGATATACCAGCTAGGCATAATGCGGACTTTGCAAAGGCATGCCATTGCCTAGGGCAAGGAAGCGAATTCAACTTTTCTGTTCACTGACAATGTTCCAAGACAATAGAATCAGACCCATAGCATTGAAGTGGTGCCTTTTCTTCTTGGCCCTTCCAAAACAGGTTGTGCAATCCCTGTTTCGATCTGGTTTTGGTTCAATAAGGAAAATGCCTCACTGAAAGCTTTGGAGCTGCTGGCTACTGTTGGTTAATATGTGCACATCATGGATCAGGGGTTTCAAACGGCATGCAAACAAAGGCATGCAAGCAACTGCAAAGCCATTTTTTTGGGGTTCTCCTTTCCTATTTCTATACATGCACATTGCCGTCAATTGGACCTACCTTATCCAACTTTCACTGCTTACAAAGTGTAGCATACAACAACTTGTAGCTTATGCAGATGCAGGTTTCCCAGAGTCATTTTTTTTCAATCTCTTTAAAAGGTTCCCCTTCAATATGATTTATTTTATCTGCCTAGGGATTTGGGTTCCATCTGAATTCTCAACTACTGTAGTACATACATCGGGTGAAGGGCTTACTAGTCGATTGCCAGCACATTCAGGACAATGCCACACTGGTACTATGTTTGTTCGATGTTTGTTCTTAAAAAGCATGATCCCCTGATCTTAATAGTGGCCAGGTTCATGCTTTCTCAGCACAAACAATGCACCTGTTGGGCCTGGCCCTTAGGTACTTCACACTCATTGGTACGTACCATGGCCACATTCCTTGTCTCCTCCACATATGCTGTGACGGGATCCATTCCTGCTTGACTGAAGGCAATTACAGTCCCAAGCTGCTGCTCCTGTTGCTGCTGCTTATGCAGGTGCTGTGTGTAGAACGGCATGCGACTTTTATCATCATCAAGGTGGTGATGATGGCCATTGTCTGGATGAGCTGCTTCGGGACCACCATCTTCAGGCTGCGTCCCCACCTCACAACTTGTTGTCTGGTGATTGACTAGCACTGTCCAGCATCTCTCCTGGTTTGCTCGGTCGTGAGTGATTTGAGAGCCAGCTGCTTCTCTCCCACAAACCTGCGATCGCAATACCCTCAAGGGCCTCAACCAGGAAAAGAGTGGAAATTGTCTTCTATTAACATCAACATCAAGATCACACATGTTCAGCTTGCCACAGCAACTGGTAGCGAGGCTGCCGTGCAAAGACAACCCATCCTTGCGCACCTGACGTTCGGCCACACTGCCGTCCAACCTCAGCTTCTGCATCGTGGTAACCCCACCGCGACTCGTCATATCTGCTCCTTGGATGACTGCCTGCATCATTGAAGAAGATCGGCAGTTGATCGCCACCCTCCGTCTCCTCTTCCTCTGCCTCCCCCTCGCATTGCTCCCAAGCAAATACTGCAGTTGACAGCAACTCACAGCCCTTCCGAACTTCACCTTCAACGTGTTGCCCGTCAGCAATCTCGAGGTCACAAACTTGGATGTGTGGGCATTAACGAATTCACTAGTCAATTGACAGTATGGCATGTGAACAAACCCTGCGTCCATCGGCTGCAATGCTTGGTTATAAGAGTAGTGTGAACCGGTCCATAAAAATGAAACCGGCGGTCTTCGTTTCACTGGACGATGCACTCCGCGTGCAGGACCTGCGCAGATTGCAGGACAGGCTGAAGAGGACGACAAAAATGAACCTGGTGTCAGTATTGCTGCACAATGCACTCCACTTGCAGGACCTACAGATATTGCAGACCACCCCAGAAGACATCCATTCCAAAGAGTAGCAGAAGGGCTGTAATTGGAGAAGGTGATCATCTGCTGCAACAACAACGCCTGCAACATGGTGCCACTGGACTCTGTCTACAACCCTTAGGCGGTGAGAATACTACACTTAGTCTAGCTGCTTTAGTCACACGCCGAAACTGCATCAGTGCCTTGAAGGTGGCCGGCGCAGAGTTGACGCCACGGAATTGTCTGCTGGATTGACTGTGAACCCCTTGAGACTACGACGCCTTGTACACCACAATGCCACACCTGTCATTATCTTACAATTTCTTCTCAGAATTAACTCAGCTCGCCAGGAAGTGCGAGGAGTGCCTGCAGCAGAACCGGTCAGCCAGGGGCGAAAAAACAAACAAACAGTCAGAAAAGGATGCCTGTTAGCAGCCATATCCGAGGGCGGGGAGGGGTAACCGTGCAAATGTCTTGGGCCGTTTGGCCATTTGTTGACAAAAGAATCTTGTTATAACTGTAAGAAGGGCGGTACTCATCCTTGGACTTTTCTTGGCAGACCCATGAAATCAACTCTGAGAATTTGCCTGGGGATGCAGGGACTTTTATTGGCAGACCGATGATACACTCTGCCAGAAAGGCTGCCAGTCATAGGCACATCCATGAAATTATCTGAAGTAAACATGACCAACTGGACTAGCTCAGTTGGTAGACCCATGTGCTGTTAAAAATACAGACCTCAGTTCGAATTCCAATCGAACCAGATGAGGGGAAACAACTCTGCGAATTTACCTGCGGCCGATCAGTTGGAAGATGATACCTCAAGGTTGTCACCCTTTTAAAAATCAAAAATAAAGAGAGAGAGAGAGAGAGAGAGAGAGAGAGAGAGAGAGAGAGAGAGAGAGAGAGAGAGAGAGAGAGAGAGAGAAATAAACAGGAAAATAACTCAAAAAATAAGAAACCGATTCCGGGTAAAAAAGAGAATGATGATGACATTCGTAAACAGAGATTTGCTTTACATACCTTTCTTGGCCTTTTGGCTAAGATCAAGCGTAGTGTCTGTTATGATAAGTTTAATATCTATTAATCTGTGGTCCATCGGTTAACAGATTTGCTTCATAATGCAAGTAGATTACGCCACCTGTGGTCCTTGCAAAAGCTCCCAGTGAACCACACATAGGCCAGTAGCACCCCAGCCTTGAGCCTGAATCATGGTACAAGCAGTTCTTGATAAACAGATCAAGAGTTCTAAACCTGATGGATGGATGCAATAATATCCGGGGAAAATCCCTTCAAGGAAAACGGAAAAAGAGAAGGCTAGTAGTGCCAGCGAGCCCAAGGGCATCTACTACCAGCAAGAAGGGAAACTGTTCCCACTACCGCCTTCCCCCGAGCAGAACGTACCCTCGTCATGACTGTACCCGGACGGAAAGACAGCTCGTATACATTCGGAGAAAACGGGGGTGGGTTCTGCTAGGGCGAAGTCGGTAGTCACTAGGGGAGATACGGTGCTTGGATCGTATACATTCAGAACGGGGTTGGGTGGTGTTTGGACAATAATGACGGCCGCAATTGAATTGTTTTCGTTATTTGAGGATTCGACTTGTTTTCGGGGATCCATAATTACATAAAAACACATAAAAAAATATTAAAAAAGAAAAAAAGAACAAAAAAAAAACACATAACCAAAGGAATTGCGTGAACTATGTGCATTGATCTAGTTGAGGCATTTTACCTCCTCACTTATTACTGCTCCAAGGGCACTGCCGTTCTAATTAAACCCGTTCTAATTACGGTAAACGGCAATTTGGGCGGGAGGTGGAGTGTGCGATGTAGTGGGGGGGAGGAGGAGGTTCGGGGAACGAGAGAGTAGGGGAAGGAGGGGGATCCAGGCAAAGAGAGGAGGCTCCGCTTGGCACCAACGACTTCCCTCGACATTAGAGCGCATTGTGTATGTCGAGTACAGGATTCGATCACACAACTCTGGGCTCGGCAGGCAAACACCTAACCATAAGGCTTAGCGGGCTGGGGTGAAAGTAGAAGCCCCAAGATAAGCACTTCACCCCAACCCAGCACGGAGATCCCGCGACACGGTGTACCCAACCACACTCATCCTACACAGCCACACTTCCCATAGTACAATCTCTACGGCAGTCACACTGCGTGAAAGAACCCGAATGGGGAATACAGGACTCGAACACACAACTCTGGGCTCTGCAGACAAACACCTAGTAACCATAAGCCTAAGTGGCCTGGGGTGAAAGTGAAGCCCCAAGATGAGCACTTCCCTTCCCCACCCCAGCACGGAGATCCCGCGACGGCCATGGGCACTAATTATATCGGACGCAACAAAGCTTTGAGGCAGATGCAACAAAGATTTCCGTAAACTTGCGGAACTTTCTTTGTTCACAGTGTGATTGAGGACAGGCAAATTATCTGGCAAAATTGGGCTACAAACTGGGAGAAAGAAACCAGACAGAATATCAATGCCACGAGTAATCATTGATAATCATCTGACCTACCCTTGGCCCGTTTCACAATGTTGGAAAAACTGCAATCCACGGGCGTTTTCTTTCTTTTTCCAACTATGTTTTGTAGTGACAAGAAAAACCTCAAAGAATTAACGAAATCACTGCTCTACATTTTCATACAACCCCGCAACGCCCCTGCCTTACGTTCGCGGGGGTCGAAGGTTCCCAGTTTTGAACCGAGAGAGGAACTATTACAGTAACTTAGACTATGAAACTATGGAAATTCACCGCCATCAGTAACAAAACCAGCTCGCCATCAGCACAATCTAGTAACTAGTTGAGGAGCAAAGAAAGGGTCCCATTGCGCTACAAATCGCTTCGTACAATCATATAGCATAGTACGTGATACCCGCCTAATTTGGCCTTTATCAAATGTATCTTGAATGCTGGCGAAATGCCAACATAATAACATGCTTTAATGTCCATTGCGAATAAAACCTTCATCGACCGTTCAAATGTCAAACAGCAATAACCTCCTCCTACTACCTTCTTCCCCCGAATACAACGTACGGTCATTATAGCTGTATTTGAGGCATCTTTCAGTCCAGATACAGCTATAATGACCGTACGTTGTATTCGGGGGAACAAGGTACTCTTCCCCCTCCTCCTCCTCCTCTTCTTCTTCTTCTTCTTCTTCTTCTTAGTTGCGCGTTTCAAACTGAGAGCTGTACATGCGGAGAAGTAATGCATATATGTCGATGCTTGTACGAGAAGCAGTCTATGGCCACTGTTTTTCCACTGTTGTTCTTCTTCTTCTTCTTCTGCTGCTGCTGCTGCTGCTGGTGCTGCTGCTGCTGCTGGTGCCGGTGCTGCTGCTAGTGCTGGTGCTGCTGCTGGTACTGGTGCTGGTGCTCCTATCTCTCTTTGTCGCTGTTGTAATTGTTGTTGCTGCCGCTGCTGCTGTAACCCTTTGTTTTTGTTGCAGCTATTGTCGGTTGTTGTGGTTGTTCTCGTTGCTTCTTCTTCTTCTTCTTCTTCTACATCCGTGGCGGAAAGTTAGGTGGATGCGGGAGTGTGGTCGGCCCCTTGATGAGTGCTGGAGCGCAACCAGCCGAAACGCGTCGGGGAATGTGCGCGGTTTTTTGGATGTTTGCTCGTGATGGTGCTGTAACGACTTTCGTACGTGCATGAGCGCATAGCGTTGGCCTCGCTATCTCCTTCTTCTTCTTCTTCTCCTCCTCATCTTGCTTGCTTAATGGCACACTCGCACTTTGGACTTTACCGAGTGTTAATCACGGCTAAACTCAGTGTACATACCACTAACGTTAGTAGGCGGTTGCTGCTGCTCTCCATACTATTGTTGCCTAAAGGCAACCTAACGGCATACTCGCACTTCGACCCACGATTACCGAATGGCGATGCCATTCATCACGATCGAGATGCGGATACACAGTCGGTGGTATGCCGCAGATACTACGCGTCAGCGCTTCCACCAGTAGTTCCCCATTCCAATTGGTTCAAAACAAGAACACAAAAAAAAGACGGAATTGTTGGATTTTTCAAGCCCACGGTTTCTCCGTCATGCGCACGAAGATGCCACGAACCCCCTCCCCTCCCATTCTCACTTCCCCCCTTTCCCTCCTTCTCCTCCCCCCCGGCCGGGCACCCTTCACCTCCCTTACTATTTGCGCATCTTATCCGTGCGCACAAGACCGAATCTACAGCCTATGCCCATTCCCATTTAGTTGCCCGTGGCCAAGTCCCATTAGCAGGAGTTTGGTTTCGATTCCTGTAACGATGCGGCACGGTGCGGCGGGGGGTGGCACCGTGTGACACCATTTCGAAGCTGTTTTTAGGAATTCAGAAAATTGTGTAGAAGGGTCCTGCACTGATGACAACATGCCAGGAGTTCCGGGAGTGCACGTCGTTGGGCGTTGCTCCACCTCACCAAATGTGGAAAATGAGAATGTATTTTACGCCTGTACATGGGAAAATACATCACCATAGTTTTTGCCTTTCGTGTGTGTGGTGAGAAGCGCCAAAGGCTGTAGAGTGGACGTCCACGCACAAAGCATGTGCGTGTGTGCACACACACACACACACACACACACACACACACACAGAGNAGAGAGAGAGAGAGAGAGAGAGAGAGAGAGAGAGAGAGAGAGAGAGAGAGAGAGAGAGAGAGAGAGGGCAGTCTGCTCAGACTGACACACTCTTCTCACGATTTTTAACAAATTCTCGCCCTTACCAATTTCCGAACTGGTTTTGATTCCTGACCCATCAAAACACGACAGGTCAGGAATGAAAACCCCTCCAACGATGAGAAAGAATTCCTAGCACAGTTGATGGCAAATGAAAGGGTAAGAAAAATGTACCGTCCTACTATTCGCAGGCAACAAAATTAGGACCGTCCGATCCCTTTGCTACCTGCGGCTGAAAAGAGTCACACACACGAACGCTCCTCATTCCTATACTTTTGTGACCGCTAGTGGGACTTGCCCCCCGGTGTTGTCCAAAGGGAACCGGCAATTGATCTTTACTTCATTCTACTATTTTGAGGCGGGGCCTGGTTTTGGGTCTGGTGAGGGGTCGGGGAGAGAGGGCCGTAAGATGCGGCTCCTCCGTTTGAAATTGTGAGCTTATTAGCCACAACTACGATGCAGCTGGGCTTCTGCTCGTCCAGGTGCAGATCATGCACGAGGGTTGCACAAGGTGCGTAATTGTTTTTTTCGTGACCGAAATGCTCCAACACCAATCATAGTTCAGCAGGCCTGCTGGTAGGAGGGGCGTATTCCTCTAAGCGAGTCATGTGCGCTCATTTGTGGCCTGCTTTAGCTAGGTTGATTTCACGACATGAATTTTAGCGAGTCACGTGCCCTCATTTGCGTCCAAATTCATGTCAGGCAGCGGTCGTGTGAGAATGCCCTAGGTTACCCTTGGAACATGTGGACCACGCAGTAGAAACAGAGAACGGAAAAAGAAGCAAACGCAAAAAAAAACACAATGGTGCCCTTCGGGACATCCGTTAAAATTTTGGAACGACATAGAGAAGATTAGTATGGCCCCTGCGCAAGGATGACACTCGTAGAAAAGAACAGACAAAAGGGCCACTAACCGAGCTGTATATTGCGCTAACGCCTTCACACCATTGTCCTCCATTGTCCTCCAGCCAAATCGCATAGCATTCCTCAAGCACATTGCACAGCGTTCGTCAATCACACCGCATAGCGCTATCCAATCACGTGACCGAATCGGCCCGACACGTGTCCTTCTGACTGCATTTTGGGCTGAAGAGTATGCTCAATTCCTTCACACCCACCCTATCTTCATCTCCTCGAGAAGTGACATGAACGGAGAGCATTCTAGGGGCGCATACGGAACGATTTTCGGTCCAGATACAGACATGATACCATGCTTTCCATGCAAGGTAAGTTAGACAGAGGTAGTACGCCTAATCAGTGTCTGCTTCATCGAGCAGCTGGACCGCTATGTATACGCCGGAGCACCTCGACCAATCGATCTTGAAACGAACCAAAAGTAGCAGAAGAAGAGGGAGTGAGAAAAGGGTAGAGAGAATGCAGGGAGAGGTTCTTCAGATTCATGACGACGAAGCAAAGCGAGGCGACGGCGCGCTGTGACCATGGCGGGACGTTGTTTCGCTCAAGAAGAGGGAGAGGCGCGGGCAATCCTACCTGGCTCTCCTCCACCGTACAACGAACGAATAAATGAAATGAATTGAAATGCAATGAATTATCAGTCCCTCCCTCGGAAAACCTTCCCGCCCATTCGACTACGCAGAGCTTCCGGGCTCGATTTCCCCGCGCTTCGCTTCAAACTCCTTCCCGCGTCGGACTTTTTTTGCGTCGGACTTCAAAAAAAGTCCGACCTCCTTCCCATCCCATCCCTCCCGCCGTTTTACTTCTGACTCCTTCCCGCCGTCCCTAATTGTGTGGTCGATCTTTGATCCCCTGATTTGACATTTGGAATTCGAAATTTTCAATTTTCAAATCAAATCCGTCCGTGGCACAGTGTCGCGCTCATCCGTCGTTGACATCAACGTTTACTGCACGGGGTAACAGCGAATTCCCACCTCATGCTTCTCCGCTGCAATACGATACGAAACTGTGTCCCCTATCGCCCTATCCCCCCTTGCTCTTCCCCCTCACCGACGCCTTAGGTTGTCCACCAGGCCAAACGGAGGGCTGTAATCGCGCCGCGCGCGTTCATCGACGACCTTCCGAGATCCACCGGCACATTTCTACGTTCTTCTTTGGGGCGGTGACGGTGTTCGGTGGACCCAAGGCTACCACCAATTGTTTGTCTTTTTCCTTCTTTTTTTTTCTCGGTCTGCACCCCTGAATCCAGCGGCCCACCGTCTTCCCCCGAGCATAACGCATATGTCTTTGTATTCGAGTTAAAAAGAAAACAAACGTTTTTCGGAAAGTTAGGCCCTTTTCTTCGAATACAAGGGAACTTCGAATATAACACGTGTGTTTTATTCGAACAATCCCTATACACGTTATATTTGAATTTCACTTAAAGAAAATTGTTGTATTCGAATATAACCTCCCCCCCAGAAGGTCAACGCCTGCTCCATTCTTGCCTTGGTGAACGGGACAGGCCTGTGCAGGCCCGTAATCACAGATCACTGCCCGTGCTCTCTCTCTCTCTCTCTCTCTCTCTCTCTCTCTCTCTCTCTCTCTCTCTCTCTCTCTATATATATATATATATATATATTTGTGCCCCCTACGCTCTTCATTAGACAAGAAATTGTCCTCCAGGTCATTGACACACGCTGCAGGGCTCTCTCTCTCTCTCTCTCTCTCTCTCTCTCTCTCTCTCTCTCTCTCTCTCTCTCTCTCTCTCTCTCTCCGTGTGCGCGAAGGTGCTTCTAACAGCCAAGAAAGTGGCACTTCTGACAGCCAAGAATGTGGCGCGGCCAAGAAAGTGGAAAAATAAGAAAGCCACTCACCAAAGTCTCGCTACACTACCGTGGTCACCTAGACAAAAAAGAAAGGGGTTGTATTCGTCCATGGTCTAGTGGAAGATTCATTCGCATTTTGCACATTTTGCTGAGGAGTGGAGCAAGGGCCCAAGTAGGGGAAAGGAATGAAACTCAACCAAGAATATGGAAACGTACGTTGCTGCTTTACTTTTACCTTTTTGCCAAGGCTTCGAGTCCCCCAGCTGTGGTCCAGAACTGAACCTACTCAGCCTGGACCCGACCCTCTTGTGTAGGCAAAGTTGGTCTCGTTCACTCGAACAGAACGCATATGCGTTGTAAACGAATACAACGCACGATATGCGTTGTATTCGTTAACGCATATGCCTTATGTTCGGGGGAAGACGGTAGCTCAGTTGGTTAGGCACGCAAGTGCCATTCAGGAGGTTGTTGGTTCGTGACCGCCTACGGCGCACTTAGTGCCAACGGATTGTGATAGTCCGCTTGATACCCCTGATAGGTATCAACAGGGCCTATGACCAACAAAGGTGTGAGTGCGAGCATGAGTGGGTTGTGTGGGAGAGTGTTGACCATAGGCACTGCTGCTACTCGATGGGGGTTGGGGGAAGTAGATGGGAGGCGCAACAACTGGCAAAATGGTCGGTCTTTGAGTTAGTCGGCCCCCTCCACAGGTGGCCCCACCCTCCTTCTTGACCACCGCCGATTACGGCGGTGAAACATGAATGATCTCCTTAATTGTTAGAGGTAGCTATGCTTGGAGGGGTCCCCTTTATGGGCATAGGAGTAGTGGTAGGTCGTGAGCGAAAGGTGAAATCGAGAGAAGAATATTGCTTAGTTCTATGTTACCCAGATCGGACGTTTGAGACCCCCCTGACCGTCCGGGGTTGTCCGATCGGACAACTAGTCGGACGTCCTCCCCGGGCAGTTTGTCCGAAGTCCGAATGGTAAAAAAAAAAAAAAAAAAAAAAA